GGAAGACTAGAAAGACTAGGAATTGTATAAACCAGGGCAGAGGAGATAGAGACCTGGAGAAAAGGAAAGCAGATTTGTACTGAGAGCCCTTGGATGGGACAGATCATGTCTCAATTCTGCAACTGTGCCTGAATCACCATGATTAGGAATTTGTGTTTGATCTCAGAAGCTATCTAGGTGATAATTGTTATTAGAAATCAAGAAATAAATGAGCAATGAAAATATTGCTATATAACATAACTATATAATATATAATTATAATTATATATTATGTAATTGTAGAATTATAGTTTTCTAAAAAAATGCATATATTCTTATCTATCCAATGTGTTGCATACATACACACACACATACACAGATATATTAATAAAGGAATCATTAAATGAAAGAAATTTGGGAAATCCTGTTAATTTGCCCTAGAAAGCTCTATGCTCTCATTCTCATGGGCTCTGACTCTTAAGTCAAACATGTTGTTTGATAGACCATGGGAGTAAGTCGATGAAAAACATATGAAGACTGTGAAAGATTTCATGTCTCACTGAGAAACTACATTCCAGAAGAAGACTTGATTGCTGAGAAGAGAAATCCTGGCTGTGAGGAAAGACTTGGTACTGCCCACAAACTCACTGAATGAGGCCAGTGTTATCCCTGGAACCCCAGCTTAAATTTGCCTCTTTCTACCACTTGTACTGTTTGTGGAGAAATACTTGCATTGTCAAAATACACATTATTCTGCAGTCAGATTTTGAAGTTGTAGTCTAATGTGCATGTCTGTATCCTTGGAAATCTGTGGACTAGAGGAAGGGATGAGAATATGCAGTTAATGGTAAAGAAATAAAGGTGATATGAATAAGCAAATTCTATTTTAAGTGGAATCCCATAACTGAGAAGGGAATTATGGGTATGAATAATTATCACCCCCCTTGTGTCTCAACTTTTCCACTAGACTCCTTTCGGCAGCTAAAATTAGAACGTGAATGGTATTGTTACTCCCTAATGTAACTTGTAACGAGAGAAAGATAATTTCCTAAAGCTATCGCAGGTTCAGCACACTGATCAGTTTCACAGCACTGGGCAGAGATCGGTTTGGTGCCTGCCCACTGTTACTCCGGGTGGGGCTCAAATTTTTCACCTTGAGCTTCAACTGCCTCTCCTGCAAAGTGGTCATATCAGCCACACATCCTCACAGGTACTTAAGCACTTGACATAGTACTCGCACGTGCTAAGTGTTTATGAATTCTGGCTATTATCATTTTATTCTAAATTTATGTAAGCTGCATTATAATCATGCTCGTGTACTAAACCAGCAATTGGTTTTTGTTCTTGAGTTTAAGAAAACCCAATGGTTTGTTCGTATTTAGCATGCACATTTATCTCTTCTTGAATCCCAATGGATCTGTTGTCGACCTGAGACTTTACGACTAGTTCACTCACTGTTTGGGGATAAAAGAGAAGAATTTGATACTCAGCTCATTATTTATGAAGAGCTAAGGAATCAGCCCGCACAGCTGAATGAGGTTCCTAGAAGTGACATCTCAGCAAATGTGCTGACAAAAAAGCACCTGCGTATTAAAGCTGTTCTCCAGCAGTGGTTTGTTTCCATAGCACCTAAGT